AAATTTGAAAATCATGATAATATTACCAATAGTAATCAACCGAAATGGTAACACGAAACTTTCTTGTAATGTATAGAAAAATTCGGAAACAAACAAACAAAAAAATAAAATAAAATAAAACGGATTTGTTTTGTACAATGATAATGTTCAACATCGTTTTGCTCGAACTTAACTACAGTTTTTTTAAAGGTCCGGTCGTTTAGTATGTTCTGAATTACACACTATAATAACGTTCTGTATGCTATATTCACGGACAGATCCGTCCAGCTGATCTATAGTTAATCTGGCACGTTCGCTTAGATCATTAATTTCAAGCGCATAAATTTGCGAGGACTCATTTTAGTGACAAATTTTATACACGGTAGATACTTAAAACACAACACGCCAGTCATTCTATTATGTGCCCGTTTGGAGTGTTGTATACACACATTTAACACTACACCATACACTGTATGTAATATGAGTATAATTTCGTGCCGTAATACACGCTGTGGTGTTTAACATGACCGAAGTAGCGATAGTCATAAAATATTTAAACATGTAACATTTCGTGACGAGCACGCAAACTCGTGAACATCGGATCGGATAGGAGGAGGAAGAGCCAGGAGATGATTCGTGTCCGATGATATTTTTCCGCCGAGCCCCGAGGTATTTACACCATCGTGAAGTATGCGTCGTCGATACGTCCTCTTCTCCTTTTATACTCTCGTATCGATGCCGTGTAAAACGCATTTACGGCTAAGTTTCGTCGAAGCAATATGCGATTTAACAATAATACTATTTCATTTATAGAAAAATCTACAGGCAGCGAGTCTCATATAAATAAAAAGACGCATCAGCGACAAGCCACAGTGACTAGTGACTACACACGTTCACATAATTTCTCGTATAATTAAAATTATAATCACGGTCTCCTGCTTACACTTTAAGACTCTTATTGCGACTGTTCGAGTAATATTAATGGAAATTGAAAACTCGAGTACGTTAAAACGATAATATTTTAATTATTTGATACTGCAATATTATACTGACGTTATGATTTGCTTTAGGCACGGCGTTCGTACAAAACGTCAGATTTAATAACTCGTATCCGCTGCAGTATGCGTGCGTTCCCATAACTCTTACAACGTGAAAATAATAAAATGCATTTTTCGAAAGTGTTAGATTTTAGTAGATTTTTTTTTTTTAAATGTAATTCATCATTATGAAAATTTGGGTATTGATTAAAATTTAAAACACATTGCTAAACGATCGTATTCGCAGGTTATAGGTTTGCTGTATGAATAATAACTAGTGCGCCGCGTTGTACAAGTCGGTTGGTTTCGGAAACGTAATAATAATACGAGTGAAAAGCGAACTAAATATAACATCGCATTTCGGGAGGTACCCGACCGATGTGCAAAATGCGTTTTAAATAATTATTCATAATAATATGTCTTTGCAGCAAGTCCAAGTCTTATTACGTTTCGAAGCAATTAAGTACCTACATATTTTGTGTACGCGCGCGTGAAGGCTGTAGAATTGTGTTACATTCAAAATACCAATTGATAAAATCATTAATGATCAATATTCGATGGTTTCCGTCAACGCTAAACAACATTCACCAAACATCGTCAAATAATACCAAAACGTATACGATATTTGAACACGTCCAATATGTTTATACAGTAAATACTAAATATACTATGAATGAACAGTATTAAATAATATAAGATGTTAACAGAACTCTATTCGAGTAGGTATGGCACTATATTATGGTCCATAAAAGCGTGCATTATTTTCTCCGAGGTTATTTTATACAAATATTTTATGTGTTTATCTGTATTTATGTACGTACATTATAGGCAAAAAATAAATAAATAAAAAATAAACCACCGTTCGTTATTTCCGTTGCCAGTAACAATACAATATAATAAATTACGTTTAAAATAAATAAAAAATGTTAAAATGTAAACAACTACCGAGTACCGCGAGTACGTGTTATGGTCACTGCTGCTGTCTGGCGGCACCGTAATGGGCAAAACTAAAGACGTATATTATTACTAAAATAAAAATAATATGCTACTCACTGTGCTAGCGTCGGAACTGTTTAAATATTTAATAAACATAATATAATATGACGTACGACGAGAATATTATATACAATGCTCGCGATCCGAAAACAGTGTTGTTGTGGGAATATACGTGAATAGTGAATACCTATAAAATTAAAAAAAACTCTTTACAAAACATTGCAGGTTTCGATTTAATTTTTCTTTATTTAATTTTTAACCTAACCTTAGTGTTTATTTAAAAATAACAATAATAATAACCACGATTGGTTTTTATACTATGCATTTATAACCAAATACGTTTTGTTGCAGAAAATCACTCTTATACTCGTATATATATTAGCTCATTGGCAGTACCTCGACTTTCGATTTTCGTTTGTTTAGGATTTTAGGAACGATTTTTGCCATGTACGATTTTGGCACTCTCGGTTAGTTTCTAAATGTTAAATATTAGAAACTTGTTTATTTTTCGTCGATTAGTAATAATTATTATTATCATCGACTATAGTTAAAATATTAAATGGTACGGTAAACGCACGAAAATCACAAGACAATATTAATACGTACGTTTCGCTAGCACCTCACCTCTGCGTCAAATTCGGAGATTTGTGTCAGATCAATAATCAGCGTGCTTTTTTTTTTTTGGCTTAGAACTTCCAAAAACCATATACGAAGGTTTGGCCGGGCACAGCCACCGTCTTCGATAATTGTAATTCGTAGTCATTGTTTTTTCTAGCGGTATAGGTTCTAGTCGACGAGCTTATGATTCACGTACCTATAGTAATAATGGTTATTCTAGCCCTGGGCCTTTGCAGCTACTATGTATACAATTAAAATCTGCATCTGTGTTTAGGTGGCGAATCGGGTCTTGCGGTCTGTTCGACAAAACCAATTATAGACATTATTCAATTATTTATATACCTTTGGGCAGGACTACCGGAGTGTCTATGATGGCATGAATACAATAGTATGCAACTAATTTTCTAATATCTACCCACAATACGATAGTACGCTGCAGTAGTATATAGTATTAGTATATGTATATAATATTATGCACAATAGTACGCATATGATATAACGTATAATGTATTATGTACAGTATAATATGAATATACTTCATAACACTATCATAACATTATACAATCGAATAATATGATATATCTGTAATATATATATCTTACATGTCAAGTATATATTATTATACCGTTACACTGTGTCACACCTAACTGGGCACGTGATTTTTAGGGGGGCTTTAACTCGAACGACTTATAAACTCGATAACACCCGCCGTCTTGTGCGGTTATGTGGCTGTGTTTATACATTTTATAAAACGTTTCTACACATTCCAGTGCTAGGGAAATGCACGGCGCTAATATTTTGAGTTTTACGACGTGTACGCGAGATTTGGTTTTGAGAGAATCAATCGCAGACGCGTCAGACGAGCGATGATCGAACGGCGTTTTGATGACATTTAGCAGATCGCCCGCCGAGAAACACGACCGCCACGAAAGTCCACTGGTCTCCGCAGACGTATCAACGGCGGCGCGGTCGATCCCCTCCACTAGGCCGCCTAACAGCGACCGGAGAGTTAAAAAACGCGTTTACGATTTTCCGGTTTTTTGCGTTTCGTTCCCCGAAAACGGTTTCACACCGTATATATAGGTAGGTATACACGTTTCGACTCCTCCCACCGCGTTCGCAGCCGTACCTGCCCGACGCCGACACGGACGTCATCACAAAATAACGATGCGTTTCAGACCGGACGTCGCATTCGTAACAACGCGACGATAATATTGAAACGCACTAGGAATACGAATAATAATAATAATAATAATATGCGGTAGCCGCTTCGTTCGGTTACGTATTGCTAATCGTACGTTACGCCGATGTTACATCGCACGGTCGTTGCGGTCTATAGGCGTCCGCCACCAGCCACCTGTTGGCTGTGCACGTGGCCGGGCGACGATCCCGTGGATCCGGAGAAAGTACAGGCCGACCGACGACGACCGCGCTCATCTTTCACTCCGACCGAGCAGCACAGCTCTCGCACACACAAATAGACATGCGATAATATGCCAACGTATTGTGTGTATTATTGGAAAGTCGAA